TTCCTCCTTTTTTAAAGAAAGCTTCCATTGCAACAGGGGAAGGAGAAGTTCCTGACCCAGGTTTTAAAGTTAAAAGTCCCTCATCTGACCCAGCCTGCTATTGCCACACACGGCTTAAGCATCTCTGTGACTATTTCAATACTCTTGGTTTGCTCATTTCATTTCTTCTCTGGCTTTTAAGCCAGTTATTTTCAAGGTGTTATAGATGCTGTCTATATATATATATGTATATATATATATGGACATGTATTTAAGAAAAAGAGACAGCCGTCTGACATTTTGCTGCTACTGTCATGTTTCCAGCTGACTTAGCTTGTTTGTCAAGCTATGACAGTCTTTACAATTAAGGGATGCAATAAACAGAGCTCGGTCAGGTGGGGAATTATTTTTAATATAGTTAAGTAGATGGGTATGTATCATTGCAAGTCCTGAACATTGGCCAGGAATAAAGCCACCCAAGGCTCTTAGTTAATGGAAGCTCTGTGAAAGTCATCAAGAACACCACTCTATTTCTCCACATGAATTCTTTCTTTTCGCTGTTTCCACAAAAAAAAAAAAAAGAAATCAAGTTACTAGTTTCTGAAAGCATTTTTCTATAAAACTATTACCTTGTCAACATGATGGCTGCAATCATGCTTCACTATGAAACGATCTCCATATCCATTCTAAGCTTAAAGTTTCCAATTTCTTGTACTTACCATAGAGTCATTTACATAGGTTTACACATATGCACATTACTATAAGATACTTTTAAAGATGTATTGTACAATTACCTAAACACTACAAAGTGTTAATTACCTCTTTGCTTCTGCTCCGGCTTCTGTGTTTTCTTCCTTCAGCATCTGCAGAAGAAAACATTTATTGTTATTCACCTAGTTCAAGGGGAGATCAGCTTGCTATAATCTTTCTAGCTCCTTTCAGTTATTTCACCCCTCAAAAGTCAAGAATAGAGATTTAGAAAACAAGCAGCACTATTCAAACATCTAGTGCAGAATGCAAACTCTAGCTGTTATTTCCAGTTTTTTGCTTGCATTTTCTTAAAGCTCTGAAAGTGAAAAACTAGCTCATGTCATACTCCAGTCACATTCTTCAGCCAGGTAACCTCATTTTTGTTACAACCATGTGAAAGTATCCCAATCTAAGCATATGTAATTAAAAATGAAAATAAAGTAGCATGGTTTTCTCTCTGGTGTTGTGTCCCCTCTCCCTTCCCTGAACACTGGAAAGACCTTTTTCCTTAGCACTTCTATCATTAGAATTGCAAAGTTTCAATATAACACATTTAAGATACAAAATCAAATTTAGCAGCTTCATTTTTTCCCAGTTCTAACAAGTTATTAGAGCTTAATCTGTGTATTTTTTTCTGAAACAGCTTTAAAGAGATTTCAGTTCTACAAGTATACACCAGAACAGTACTAAGTAACTTTGCTTATAGGAAGACCATACCTGACTTCCGTCTTCTTTCCCTTGATCGTGAGCGTGATCTTGAATAATGATGCTTTGATGTTCTGGGAGAACTAGAGGCATCTGATTGTTCCTTTTTCTTCTCTCTTTCTGGAGAGGACTTTTCTGGGGCTACACCATCTCGTTCTGTATCACTACCCTACACATGAAGACAGAATGTTTAAAAACCAAAAAACCCAAGACTGAAGAAAAACTATTTACTTAGTACTTCCTCTGAAGTCACATTTAAAATTATTTTCTGTAAAGACAATCTCGTGCACAGCCATCCCATTATTAGTTAGGCAATAGCTCGACAGACTTGCAGTGACCTGTGTAAGTGCATACAGACTGATTTTTCAAGACTTTATTATAAAGAGAACTAATACATCGTAACATTTTGCTCTCCTGCTACATTAGACTGCACTTTACTTATTCCATGCACTTTTGAGAATATCAGTAAGAGTAAACTGACCCACAGTTTTATTTGCAATAAGAATAAGACACATGAAAACCTCTCAAATGCTGACTTATATACATTACTTTGAAAACAAAGCAGCTAGGTTTTCTTAAACCACAACAGATATTACAGACTGTCATTAATATATTGTGTATTAATGGAAGACTTTCTTCCTAATGTGCTACAAATAAATATTTGGATTTATTTTTCTGCTACTACTGTTTAGCCTGCCCAATTCTTTATTCATTTGCATCTGTACAAAGACACCTCTGTAGTAAAATCTCTATAAGAGTGAGAGATAAAGCAGCTGTTCACTTCTGCATTCGCATGGTATACTGATACCTAGTTCAAAACACACCAGCATATGGACAAAACCACTGACCACTTAAGACTGCATCTGTAGCAGAGTTTTAACTACTCTCAAGTAACACTTCTGCGTACTATTGATACACCACCCACCATCCTGAAAACTTTAGAATATTAGATAAAGAGTAGGAACTGACTCCCCTATTAGCGACCTTAGCAATCACAATCCTTGGCATTCCACATCTATCTATCATTTGCTTATCTACACTTCCCCTCCTTCTACTCAGTCCCTCCTTCCTTCACCTAAGGTTTCCAAAAGATTCAGCATGAAGCAGTTGCAAAGGAGTTTTGAGATTTCTATAAATTTACATTTCAAAGTTACTTGAGAAGGGCAAGGCGAATACCAGCTAACAGTCTAAGTTAACTACATTTTTAAACATAGTAGTCAACTAAAATTGAACCTGCTATCACATTTTCCAAGGCTACCAGTCACATGATTTATACACATTGCTACTCATTAACACCCTTGTGCACTGCACCTTAGAGAAATCTCTCAGCTCTACAAAAACAGACAGTAAAAACAGGCTCAGACTTCAACGAGACCATTCTCAGTTCTTACAAGTACATGAGGAGTGGCCACAGGCCCACAGTTCCACTGAACAAGCCCCTCACCTACTACTTCTGAGGAACCTCACCAATAGTGCCTGTAATCTAGGTGCAAAACTACAAGTCTGTAATTCTTCAAGCCCTTTACAGAAAAAAATTATCTTATTCTTAACAGGTTAAGTTACGTAAACTGAAAAAGCATCATTAAAAAACCAAAAGGATTAATTTTCTCCAGAAGTTTATGGTCCTCCTGTTCTGTTCCACCACTGGTCAAACTTTCAAGACAAGAGCTTAAAATACAATGTGCTTAAAGTCAGCTCTCAAGAGCTGTATCACTTTAGAGTCTGTGGTGTACTTGGTTTGGGGTTTTTTTTCCGCATTCAAGACTACTTAATAACTTTTGAAAACAATTAACCACATCAGGTTTGATAACTACACTTATTGGTTCTTCAACTCAATCACGGGACAAACACCTTTATATGTTACCAGGCCACACAAACACCTTTACATATTACCAGGCCACACAAATTTTGGAAGAATAAAGCTACACTCTTAGGCCGTGTATGAACATAAATGGCAGTGATAACTACAGCAGAGGTGTTTCCCATCGATATTAACCACAAAAACCGGAGGATGGGGCCAAATAATCACTGAGTGCAAACAGGTGCGCAAAATAGTAGGCTTGTGGCCAAATACAAAAAAAAATAACAGGACAGGGAAAACTACATGAACGAAAACTAAGACCAACAGGCAGACCTATTCCCTCTTTCTCCCCTCGCAGGGAACCTGCGCCCCACAGTCCCCCTGAGAAATGCCTGCTCCTGTAGCCACAGTATTTCTCTCCCCAGCCAGGAAATTACAGGGCATCAGTTACAAAGCCTCTTTGCTTCCCTCCAAGCCCAGAGAAATGAAACAGAAACTTCTGGAAGCAGGGACAGAAGTAACTGGCGAAAAGCGGCCATCCCTTCCCCGAGGCCCATCATGGCGCCGGCAAGCGAAAGAGCGGCGGGCGCCATTTTGTCTCTCCGCGCACACGGCTCCCCGACCCAACCCTCCCCACTCACACACTCTTCCCTCCCCCCAC